CAGGCGCGGTCTGGGGTCTGAGCTGTCAGGAGCGCACGCGGTCTGGGGTCTGAGCTGTCAGCAGCACGCGCGGTCTGGGGTCTGAGCTATCAGGAGCATGCCCGGTATGGGGTCTGAGCTGTCAGGAGCACGCCCGGTCTGGGGTCTGAGCTGTCAGGAGCAGGCGCGGTCTGGGGTCTGAGCTGTCAGGAGCAGGCGCGGTCTGGGGTCTGAGCTGTCAGGAGCGCACGCGGTCTGGGGTCTGAGCTGTCAGCAGCACGCGCGGTCTGGGGTCTGAGCTATCAGGAGCACGCCCGGTCTGGGGTCTGAGCTGTCAGGAGCACGCCCGGTCTGGGGTCTGCGCTGTCAGGAGCAGGCCCGGTCTGGGGTCTGCGCTGTCAGGAGCAGGCGCGGTCTGGGGTCTGAGCTGTCAGGAGCACGAGCGTTCTGGGGTCTGAGCTGTCAGGAGCATGTGCGGTCTGGGGTCTGAGCTGTCAGGAGCATGTGCGGTCTGGTTCTGAGCTGTCAGGAACACAGCGGTCTGGGGTCTGAGCTGTCAGCAGCACGCGCGGTCTGGGGTCTGAGCTGTCAGGAGCAGGCGCGGTCTGGGGTCTGAGCTGTCAGGATCACAGGCGGTCTGGGGTCTGAGCTATCAGGAGCATGCCCGGTATGGGGTCTGAGCTGTCAGGAGCACGCGCGGTCTGGGGTCTGAGCTGTCAGGAGCAGGCCCGGTCTGGGGTCTGAGCTGTCAGGAGCAGGCCCGGTCTAGGGTCTGCGCTGTCAGGAGCAGGCGCGGTCTGGGGTCTGAGCTGTCAGGAGCACGAGCGTTCTGGGGTCTGAGCTGTCAGGAGCATGTGCGGTCTGGGGTCTGAGCTGTCAGGAGCATGTGCGGTCTGGTTCTGAGCTGTCAGGAGCACGAGCGTTCTGGGGTCTGAGCTGTCAGGAGCATGTGCGGTCTGGGGTCTGAGCTGTCAGGAACACAGCGGTCTGGGGTCTGAGCTGTCAGCAGCAAGGGCGGTCTAGGGTCTGAGCTGTCAGGAGCGCGCGCGGTCTGGGGTCTGAGCTGTCAGGAGCGCACGCGATCTGGGGTCTGAGCTGTCAGGAGCAGGCGCGGTCTGGGGTCTGAGCTGTCAGGAGCGCACGCGGTCTGGGGTCTGAGCTGTCAGGAGCGCACGCGGTCTGGGGTCTGAGCTGTCAGGAGCAGGCGCGGTCTGGGGTCTGAGCTGTCAGGAGCAGGCGAAGTCTGGGGACTGAGCTGTCAGGAGCAGGCGCGGTCTGGGGTCTGAGCTGTCAGGAGCAGGCGCGGTCTGGGGTCTGAGCTTTCAGGAGCGCACGCGGTCTGGGGTCTGAGCTGTCAGGAGCGCGCGCGGTCTGGGGTCTGAGCTGTCAGGAGCAGGCGCGGTCTGGGGTCTGAGCTGTCAGCAGCACCCGCGTTCTGGGGTCTGAGCTGTCAGGAGCGTGCGAGGTCTGGGGTCTGAGCTCTCAGCAGCACGGGCGGTCTTGGGTCTGCGCTGTCAGGAGCACGCACGGTCTGGGGTCTGCGCTGTTAGTCTTTGCTTTGCTCCTGCCTCAGTGGGGTTTTGCACTCACGCGCTGCGTGTGCGCATGAACCCACGTGTGTCATATGTAATGCATCTGAATGAAATCACGTGGCATCCGTAGCTCATACAAAAGTGCCCCAAAACGTATGTTACTAGAAAGGGCTGAATTCCTGTTCTCCCAGGGAGAATACCACCACATGTCCTCTCCACGCTGAGCCCTCCGCGGACTTAGAAGCCATAAGACAAAACCTCCACCCTGATTTCAGTGTTTCTATCTCACCCAGAATTCCAAAGTCCTAACAAAGAAGCTGTTTTAGGAAAAAGGACCCCAAATCAATGTGTGTATGGATTTGTGATCGGGGGCCTCACACTGCGGGCCGAGTGGGGTCATAGTGAATTGTGCTGGCTTCCCTGTCTCTTTCCCACGGGGCTGTGTGCACCTCAAACCCACATCGCCTGTCCCTAGCTGGTACCCGCCATGTCAGTTCTCAACAACCATTTATGGCATTGAAACACAAAATCAGAAAAAGTAACAAAAATACAGCAACAGAAACAAAAAGTAACAAAAATTCTCCTGTTGGCTGGTCTTCCCATCACCTGTGAAAGGAAAGATGATGGTGTCCTTTAAAATGGAAGCTCCTGGCTGGGTGTGGTGGCTCACGCCTGTAATCCAAGCACTTTGGGAGGCTGAGGTCGGTGGATCACCTAAGGTCGGGAGTTCGAGACCAGCCTGACCAACCATGGAGAAATCCCATCTCTACCAAAAATGCAAAATTAGCTGGGTGTGGTGGCACATCCCTGTAATCCCAGCTACTCGGGAGGCTGAGGCAGGAGAATCGCTTGAACCCAGGAGGCAGAGGTTGTGGTGCGAATCTGGGAGGTGCAGCCGAGATGGTGCCATTGCACTCCAGCCTGGGCAACAAGAGCGAAACACCATCTCAAAAAAAAAAAGGGAGCTCCCTTCAGGAACCGGGCACGTGCTGGCCATCATGGGCTTCACGAGGGCACTGGCCTCTGCTCTCCCCGGGAAGGTTTCCCGGCTCCACGTGGCCCCTCACGTGGAGGCTGCACAGACCTGGAGATCTGTGAGCCTGAGCCCAGGCTGAGTCACTGCAGAGTGAGCCAGGCCAGTGCTACCGTTCCCAGCAAGTCTCTTCCATCTTTAAGAGACGTTACTGGTGTAGTTTGAGATTCGCTGGGAACGCATGGAGCTCTAACTGCTTCAGTCTGGATAGACCAAAACGGGCCAGCAGACGCGGCCGGCAGTCACTGGAAACGGCCCCTGTGATGCCTGCGTAAGGTTACCCCTGAGAAATGTGTATGATATTAAGTGGAAAAAGGATTTAAGCATTTCATATGACATGATTTCCTGTCAAACATTATAATGATGCTCTAGATTTGTAAGTGAAAAATCGAGACTGAGGGAGAATGCGTGCACGGTGGCAGACGGGCTTTTCTCACAGATGCCTTTCCTGACATGGTCACGCTTTTGATACCCAGGGAGAGACGCGGACACTGGATCTGGCTCAGGAGACGGGGCAGGACCCTCCCCTTTGCTCCGCGTGGACCCCCTTGAACCTGGGGTTCCTGCTGGGTGCTTGAGGGCTGGCAGCCCTGAGATCTGATGGAGGGGGCGCTGTCTGCCCTCTGTGCATGTGGGGGCTTCGCCATAAACGGCTCGGTGTTCAGGAACAAGGTGGGGCTGCGGTGCCCCAGTGGGACCCATGTGGGGTGGGAATGTGAGGCAGGGCGGGCTGAGCAGTAACTCTGTCCGCACAGCAGCTCCAGGGCCTTCACCATGGAGGGCGGCAGCACCTTCCCCAGGGCACCGCAGGACTGGGCCAGCAGCTCACACCTACCCTGTCCTCCTTTTTCAGGCCTGAGTTCACTGTCCCCCAGGCAGCTTCATTGCTGTTTTTAGACACCTCCTGTTGTAGATGTCTCACCGGGTTATCGGTGACCGCAGTGTTCACCACATTACTGAGAGCTTCCATGTGCCTCTGGACAAGTCCTAAGGCCGGTGCTGTCTCAGGACTTTCTGCAAAGGACCCTCTAGGGCCTCCCAGCCTCCCCGGCCTCCCAGCACCGGCCTGGCAAGCATCTTCTCGGCACATCTCTGTCATTTCTTCTTCACTGGCTGACTCTGAACTGAGTGACCTGCACAGCCATCCTGAGAGGTGGGCCTCTGCGCACACCTCTGCCCACCCCACCCTGCCCTGGAACCAGAGGAGCCTCAGCTTGTCCTGACACTGCCATCTGAGGCCGTCTGCTTGCTCTCAGCGTATGCCTGAAGGTGCAGCCACAGCCGCCCCAACGGGAAGAGCCAAGACTTACTGTAGTCCAGGCTGTAGAAGGCAAAGCCACTCCCCGGGTAAAAGGAGCCTCTCTCTGTCACCGAGAAGCACTGCATTTTCGTGTTCGCTTTCACCGTTTCTTGGATGGTGGTGTCTTCTCCGTTCAGCCAGTTCCAGCTCCTCATACAGCCATCCAGACGAGGGTTTATCTGGAAAGGCAGAGAAATCTCCGTGGCTTCCTGGGAGCGAGAGGCCCATGCCGGACACCCCAGGCAGTGGGTGGTGCCTTCGCAGCCGCAGCAAGTGCAGACCTACTGCAAAAATGGGCCAATCCCACTGGTGGTGGTGATTTTCACAGACGGTTTCCTCACTTTACAAAATGACCCACTGCAGAATACCTGTTTGCACTGGTGTATGCTCAGGAAATACAGGTTAATTTTAAAGCTAGGAAAGGACTGAAAAGGCCACATGGGTCCAAGGTCAAACAATAAGGATTGTTTAACCATCCAGCACTCACGTGAATTATTCAATATTCAATATGGCTGTGGGCAAATCAGGGCAACCCCCTTATGTGTGAAACAGGGAGGGGCGAGCCAGGCAAAGTCCCAGCACCAGGCAGTCCGTGGGCCTGGGAAGCAGGTGCCCCTCACAACACCGAAAGTCCCAGCACCAGGCAGTCTGTGGGCCTGGGAAGCAGGTGCCCCTCATAACACTGAAGGGCTGGCTTCAGCACAGGCACTGCCGACACTCAGCACCCACAGACGCGAAGACATGTGTGCCCTTCTCCTGTCTGGTGTGGAAGTGAAAACACCCAGGATGAAGGCTTAGATGTCAGTGCGTGGGGGCTGGAGACAGGTCGGGGGCACAGGCGTGTGCTGTGCTGAAGAGGAGAGAAGGTGGGACCTGGAAAAAGGGCCCACACTGGCTGCCCCACCATGGCTGTTCTTCCCTTATGAGACTCATGGCAGAGTTACAAAACCCAAAATGTTCTTGGAAATTGTCCAAAAAAGTTTGTTGTTTTGTTAGGGAATAATTTCATTGTGTCTTGTCTCCATTGAAAAATAGACAACATTATTATCAATTCAGATGAAAACTTAGACGGGTCTCATAAAAAGAGATGGTAAAATTAATGACACAGCTGTACCATGACTTTGTCAAATTCTAGGAAACCTTTCCTTCCTCTAGGTCCTCCCCACACCTGGTTAATCGTAAACACAGGGCAGGGCGTGACTGAGCCTTCCTGACACCGTTCTCGGGATCCCAGCACACGGCGCATCTACGCAGGTACAGTGGTAAACACAGGGCAGGGCGTGACTGAGCCTTCCTGACACCGTTCCCGGGATCCCAGCACACGGCGTGTCCACACAGGCACAGGTACAGTACTCACAGGCTGCACGAGGTCCTTCTCATGGAAGGGAATGCCTCCTACGGTGAGGTTCAGATGATACAGTCCTCGCTCCGGTTGGAACAAGTCCCCGGCCACCGCGATTTTCATGACAGCGTCCCTGTTGACCTTGATGACCAGATTCCGCGCCAGCTCCTCAACAGAGATCTGAAGAGAGGCAGCGCCATGAGAAGAGGTGGGAGTGCACGTTCTGAAGGGCTCCCAACTGCAGAAAAACCACACTCATCCTCTCCTGAGCCAAGAGGGACCTGACCTTGGGGAGACCACCTGATCCTCACCTGGGCCAACAGGGGGACCACCTCATCCTCATCTGAGCCAAGAGGATCTCAATCTCAAGGAGACCACCTGATCCTCACCTGGGCCGACAAGGACCTGACCTCGGGGAGACCACCTGATCCTCACCTGGGCCAAGAGGGACCCGACCTCAGAAAGTCCGTGCTCATCACCTGGGCCAGGAGGGCCCTCGATGCATCAGTGTGGTCACCAGAAACTTTCCTCACAGGAAACCTGTAAGTCTAACACTAGATACACTATATTCCTAAGCTTCAGAAAAATATCCTTGTTCCTGTGTGAAAACACCTTTCAGGTATTTGGGTTTGAACTGAGTCACAAAAACACGGTACCAGTTCGGGTCAGCTGGGTTTGGGGAGCAGCTAGAGAGGGTCCTCACGAGGTACCCCTGCCGGGGAAGGGCCCGTCTTGCTGGGCCGCGGCGGCCACTGTGAGTCACTGGGCAGGTCTATGCAATACCGCTCCCCACAGCGACCTCGCCTCTGGCCACCTGCCCTGGCCCCTCACCCCGTGGCTTCATCCCTGAAACTGCTTCCCCTCCATTTGCTTTCTGTAGCTTTGCTGAGAACAGCCTTCTGCTCTTGGAGATGCTGTTCCTTTAAGAGGCTGGGAAAATGGAGCGAGGCCTTACTCTGCAGAATGGAAATAGGAGCAAAGTCTACAATGTTTCATCTGCGGGGCCAAGGTGAATTTTCCACTTCATCTTCACTTCTGAAGGACATGACGTGCTTTCTTCCCAGCTTTTACTTCTGAAAGCCCCGTGTGGTGAGGGAGGCCCAGCGCTGTGGGCGGGAGCCTGGTTGGTTACAGACCCTCTCACTCCATGGATGGGGATGTGGGGTGGGCGCATTTTACCGCTGCCCACAGCTGCCCAAGTGCAGGTCTGACCAGGACCCCTCAGGTGGCCCATGGCGCTGGAGTCCAGGTGGTCAGGACGTTTCTGGCAAGAGGCAGCCCCGGTGAGGTCACCTGGACCCTTGGCATGCATGACCGCACTGACCAGCAGGCCCTGGGAGCCAGAGTTCAGGGACGGCAGCGTCCACACCGTCCTACAGGGAAAGGTGGGTGGGTGGCGCCTGGCCTGTCCACAGCCAGGGAGACACGTATGGCAGGAGCGGTACCTGTGGTGCAGGTTCAGTGGTGGCTTCCTCCCCTGGTGGGGCACCCTGCGTGCAGCATCAAGCAGCCCAGGCCTCTGTTCCCCGCCCCGCTCAGGATAAACAGTACGGCCTCCAGACACAGCCCTGGCCTCTCTTCCCCGCCCCGCTCAGGATTAACAGTACGGCCTCCAGACACAGCCCTGGCCTCTGTTCCCCGCCCCGCTCAGGATACACAGTATGGCCTCCAGACACAGCCCAGGGTCCCCGGGGCTGAGAAACACGGGTTCTCACCTGAGCCAAGAGCGACCTGAACTCCGGGAGACCAAACTCACTTGAGGCCCCCTTCTGAGGGAGCCAGGCTGATACGTGATGAAATAGCAGAGAGGCTTAGAGCACTGCAGTGAGCCCCCACAGCATGAACTGAACAGGACAGGGGTCCCTGTGCCCCCGAGCATGAACTAAACAGGGCAGGGGTCCTTGTCCCCCCGAGCATGAACTGAACAGGGCAGGGGTCCTTGTCCCCCCGAGCGTGAACTAAACGGGGCAGGGGTCCCTGTCCCCCAGAGCATGAACTGAACGGGGCAGGGGTCCCTGTCCCCCAGAGCATGAACTCAACAGGGCAGGGGTCCCTGTCCCCCAGAGCATGAACTGAACGGGGCAGGGGTCCCTGTCCCCCAGAGCATGAACTGAACGGGGCAGGGGTCCCTGTGCCCCCGAGCATGAACTAAACAGGGCAGGGGTCCTTGTCCCCCAGAGCATGAACTCAACAGGGCAGGGGTCCCTGTCCCCCAGAGCATGAACTGAACGGGGCAGGGGTCCCTGTCCCCCAGAGCATGAACTGAACAGGGCAGGGGTCCCTGTGCCCCAGAGCATGAACTGAATGGGGCAGGGGTCCTTGTCCCCCAGAGCATGAACTGAACAGGGCAGGGGTCCCTGTGCCCCAGAGCATGAACTGAATGGGGCAGGGGTCCTTGTCCCCCAGAGCATGAACTGAACAGGGCAGGGGTCCCTATCCTGCCCGCATGCAGCAGGTATAGGCCCCAGAGCTCATCTCCACGGTTGCACAAGCAAGTAACAGCCGGGTCAGGCTCAGGGACAACCCCGTGCGGCCCGGAAGGGGCGGCTGCCGCACACTCACCGTCTGCCACATGCCGTGGTTGATGACCGGGCCGCTGCTGGTGACGCGGCCGACGCCATTGTAGCGCAGCTGCAGCTCCAGCCGGCCGGCTCGCAGGGCCAGCACGATCCAGGTGCTGTCCTGGTGGCCTCCAGCGAAGAGGAGGATGCCCTCGGGGTCAAAGGTCCGGAAGTCAAACTCAGCTACAAGCCTGGGCACCCACAGGAGAAATGAGTCAGCGCCGGGTGTACGGCCAAGCCCGGGCCCGGGCCCCGTGCAGCCAGCACCTTGGCCGTGCTAAGCTGTGCTGCCTTCTGTGGACACCTCCTCACCTGGTGGGCTGCAGCCTCTTGAAGCGCAGTCGGATCACGGGGGTCCCACTGAACATCCGGCCCAGGTACAAGGACTTCACGCTCTTGGCCATGCTGAAGGGCACGCACGGCAAGATGTCCTGCCACAGACAGGGACCACGCCGGTCGGGGACGCAACCTCCACTCCAGCTCCCCTGAGCCCCGGGCCCCCGCCGTGCAGCAGGTCCACTGTCCCTCCCATGCCTCGGGAGTGTGGCCGCCCCACCTCCAGCTGCTGAGGCCCCAGAGGCTGTCACACCGGCCCCACCACCGGGGCTCCCAGGTGAAGGACGGGCTCGCACCACCTGCTTCCCACAGGGCTTCTCGGGGGTCCCGTCACCTCCTTCCCTGCCCATTTCCCTTGACTCTTTATTTTTAAATTATGAAATATGTCAAGCATACAAAAAGTACAGAGAATCATAAAAAAGTATACACTATTATGAAATAAATATGGACGCCTTGAAGATGGCTGTCCCGGAAAGTTCCCTGCTCTGGGCTGTGGTTCCTCCATGCTGCCCTATGGGGGACAGAACCAAGGCCGGTGCGAGCTGGTGTCCCTGGAAAACAGAGGGGCTGGGGCTGGGGCTGAGCCGGCCTGCTCCGCCCACCGTGGGCAGCCAGGGTGAGCTGGACGCCTGGCAGGGGCCCGACGCCCTCTGCACGAGTACACGAGACAGTGAGGCAGAGAACCTCAAGGCGAGGGCTGGCTGGGAGCCCCGAACGTCACAGCCCAGACCCAAGAGCCCCACAGCCGCGTCCCAGGTCTGTGACTCTGAGAAGCTGTCCTGGTGGCTGTTTCACCTGTGGAATCCCGTGGTTTTGCTTTTTAAATAAATGCTCACTTTCGCCAACTCCCCAGGCACAGGCCCAGGGTGAACAGGAAACACGAGAGCCGCCCTGCCGGGAAGCGTCCCCATGTGGGTACCACATCCCCCCGGTGTGACAGGTCGGTCAGGCTGGCTCCCTGGCACGCGGCAGTGGGGACCGTGCCCCGTGGGTGTCACACTGGGGTCCACACCAGGCTGGTCCACTGTGAGTTGGGAGTTGCCATAGAGACTTTATAAATATAGAGACTTTATAGAGACTTTATAAATATAACAACCAAACGTCCTCCAGGGAGCAGAAGCGTTTCTCATCCCAACCTCCACGTGGCCCTGGAGATCCCAACACCGCAGCCAAAGCCAGGTCTTCATGGAAGCGTTTCTCCCGAAAGCCCCCACCGGCGAGGGCCCCCAGAACCACCGTGAGAGGCCCGCGGGGCCAGGGGCTGCCTACCTCACAGGTGTCCATGTCCTGGGACAGCTTGAGGCCCCCGCGCCCATCACAGTGGCAGGTGTAGCTGCCCGGGGAGTTCACGCAGACCTGCTCACAGCGGCCCTGCAGACACTCATCCACATCTGCCAGCCAGAGGGAAGTGGCGGTGAGCGGGGGAGGCCTCTACACTGTACGGGGCAGGATCACACCACAACTGCTCAAACCACACACAAGGTGCACTCGGGGAATTACGTGCAGATTCTAACGGGTGCAGCCTGGGGTTTGTAGGCCCCCATTGGAAAGCTAGGATTGCACCCTCGGCCTGCTCCTGCCAGGCTCTTTCTTGAAGGGAGTGAAAGTGCTACAGGTGTTCCAGGGGGACGCTCCCAACGGGCCAGACCCACTCCCGCCGCCAGGCTGGTGTGGACGGCAGGTCTAGGAAGAACGAGGCCCGGGCTGTGCAGTGAGGTGTCCCCGGGAGCACAGAGGCGCTGACAGCTGTGGTGGGAGATGGAGGTCAGTGCAGGCAGCCTGGGCCTCCCCACCCTCTCTGTCTGCCTACTCAGCCCCTGTTCCCATCACTGGGGGCATGGCCCCTCTTGGAGGCTCTGCGGCCAACAGGGTCCCCCCATGGCGGCTGAAAAGAGAGAACAGTAGAGGGAGGCTTGCTGCTCCCCATACCTTTGGGGAGAGGCCCCATCTACGCAGGTGGAGAAGGGTACGCACGTGTGTACATGCGGTGTATATGCATGTGCACGGTACGTTCGTGTGCACAAGGGGCATGGGTGTGTGCTCACGTGTGTGGGGGCATGGTGGTAGAAGAGGCCATTACCAGGCTCACAGAAACAGGGAGAGAGACTTTCTTTCACCAGAAGCGCCCAGTTGTTAGCAACTGCCCTGGCTCAGGCAGTGACCGGCACCCGTGTCTGGGCTTGGGCGTCAGAGGAGGAGGAGAGAACCCGAGGGTGACCGCGTGGCGTGGGTACCTCGGCAGGCCTTCTCCTGGGAGCTGTATGCAAAGCCCTTGTCACAGAGGCAGGAGTAGGAGCCGGGCAGGTTCTTGCAGCGTGCCTCCCCGCAGGCCTCCGAGTCTGCACACTCGTCTATGTCTGCAAGCAAGACCGGCCAACCTCAGCATGGCAGCATCTCAGACAGGGCCAGGGCAGGTGGCTGTAGGGGCTGGCCAGGGCACCACCCGGACATCACACCCAGGCTCTGTGGGGCCAACGCGCCCTGGCCCCAATTCCCTCCCCTCCTCCCCTGACCGGGCAGCTCCTGGGGTGTTGGGGGCATGCTTCTGATCAAGGCCCGGCTGGGAAGGCTGATTTCAGCCCAGCAGATGGAGAGCTGGGAAGGGCCTTGCTTGGTCCAGGGGTGGGGGGCGGTGGTGCACGCTGTGCTGTTCCATTTAAATGATGGTGCCACAGGATATGGGGCAGTAAAAAGCAACTCCACCAGGGGCATTTGAAACCAAAACCCCCAAAGAGAAGCATTTATAGGTTTCAATCAATTTTCACTACCGGGTTAAACCACAATCCTAAGACTTGAACATCTATGTGGGACAGACACTGTTTATGGCCAAGCGCCCTGGGGTACAAGGGGCAACCCTGAAATGAAGACCTTTAGTCACCAGAGGAGAGCAAGGACAGGGGCATGGAGAAAGAGGAGGGGAGAAAGAGGAGGGGGGAAGAGGAGGGGGAGGAGGAGGGGGAGAAGCAGAGAGGAAGAGGAGAAGGTGAGGGAGGGGGAGGGGGAGGAGGGGAGGAGGTAGGGGAGGGGTTGAGAGTGGTGGGGGAGGAAGAGGGGGAATAAGGATGGGGGAGGAGGGGGAGGATGGGAGGAGGGGGAGGATGGGAGGAGGGGGAGGAGGCAGGGGAAAAAGAGGGGGAATGAGGAGGAAGAGGGAAGGAGAAGGAGGAAGAGGGGGAGAAAAAGGGGGACCAGGGGGAGGAGGAGAAGAAAGAGGAGGAGGAAGATGGGGAGGAGGAGGAGAGGACAGGACGCCTGTCAGTGTGGGCAGTAACTGTGAGCCCAGACTTTGCCGGGAGTGCCCGACTGGTGCAGGGACCCATGTGAGGTGCTTTAGACGTCATCTCTCAGGATTGACCGTGTCTTCACCTCTCTTTAAACCTGGGGTGCTGCTGTCTTCCAGGTCAGGGATAGAGCAGTGATGGGAGGGGCTCTGTCCTCCAGGCAAGAGGAGGAGCTGAACAGCGAAATGGGTTTATGTGTTAAGATGGGAATCACGTCATCTGCACAGAGGACTAACTCCTGGGTGGTCAGGGAAGGGAACCATCAAAGTGGACACAAATAGCAGCTGCCTTTTGAAATCGGGGGACAGCGTGTGGCCCCTCCTGTCTGGTCAGATTCACTCTCCAGCTCCTGGGCCTGTTTCTCCCTGAGCAACTGTCTGTCCCATCCACGCAGTCCGGCGTCCTGGACAGCCAGCAGCAGCAGTAAGAACGATGCCAGAAATTCTCAGGGACACGCCTGGGCATGTCCAGATCCAAGGCGGGAGGGAGGAGGAAGGTGCTCCCCCTGCGAAGCCCCAGTGGCAGGAGCAGCGCCCAGGACAGCATCGGGGGTGCGCACATTCACAGTGACTTTCTGGGGTGTCCCGGGGCTCCCCAGCTCTGGCCCTGGGCCGAGGGAACCCCAGACTGAAACACGAAGGGAAATGGGGAGGGCAGGGCTGTATTTAGGGAACAGACAGAGGGAGACCAACAACAGGGTGCTTCTGGGGACGCTGGGGAGAGTGGACGGCAGCGGGGACCCTAGCCTGGAACTCTGACCCACAAGCTCACTGCACAACAGCCTGGAGCACTCCCAGGCTCTGCGAGGCTCTGGGGACGGGACGAGGCCCTGCAGCCAGCAGTGTGGCCTCTGAGTTCTGGCCCTCAGATGCCGGGTGAGTCATCCTGACGTGGTGCCGAGTAGCTCCCTGTGCTGCGGCTCGCCTGGGCTTGTGCAGTCTCTGCAGGATGCCCCATCCCGTCCGAACCACAGGAACCCAGCCAGCAGCAGCCTCTTGCAGAAGCGCAGATGTGACCAAAAATAGAAGGTGGGGAGAGGAGAGAGGCCTCACCCCAGGGCCTTACCTTGGCAGGTCCTGCCGTCAGAGGAGAGCTGGAAGCCGCTGTGGCAGGCACAGTGGAAGCTGCCCGGCTTGTTGTGGCAGATCTGGAGGCAGCCCCCATTCTCCTGGCTGCATTCATTGACATCTGGGAACAAGCACAGGCCTGAAGGGGAGCCCAAGGGTGCAGAGTCCCCGCCTAGGGCAGGGAGAGATCCCAGAGGTGCACATCCCAGCTCTGGAGCAGGGAGGGACCCCGGGGCTGGGAGGCACAGCCCAGCCCTGGAGCAGGGAGGGAGCCCGGGGTGCACAGCCCCCATCTAGAGCAGGGAGGTGATGATGGGAGGGCTGTGGTCTCAGCCCGGGGAGCTGCTGGCAGTCACCGGGGGATCCCCTGCTGTGGTCTCAGCCCGGGGAGCTGCTGGCAGTCACAGCCACAGGGCTCAGCTCCCTGGATGCCCACGTGCTTGCAGGAAGAGGCTGTAGGCCAGGAGTGACCTCTGGGTGCCTGAGGACAGACAAGGCCAGGCCAGAGCTGGCCACTCCTGAGTGAAGCTCTCCCAGGTCACCTCTGGGGTGGGACCTGCCAAAGGGGACAGGCTGGCCTGCTGGACTCTCCACTATGGGTCTCCACCAGGCCCTGGAGCTATTCTTCCTCCAGGGTCTTCACTGATACCACAGGTCTGCACTCAAGGACGGTCAGAGGTGAAATTTCTTCCCCGCCTTTCAGTCGTGGGCGCTGAGGCACCACCTGGCGTTTCCTTTCATTCCAGCCCTGCTCCCAGAGAGGAGACCGCAGCTCCTCCCAGTTCTGGGGCTCCAGGATACCTCAGGGCTGCAGCCGCCTTGGGGCTGTCAGAGAGTAGCCTGAGGACGGCTGTGCCCGGAGTGGGAGTGAGGAGTGGGGATCAGGACAGGGTTGGAGAGGGAGGGAGACCCTGCCTTTGTGTTCGGCCTCCCGTGGCTGTGGGGGTCTTACCTCTGTCACAGAGCCGGCCCCCCCAGCCAGCTTTACACAGGCAGAAGAAGTTGCCCATGAGGTCTTGGCAGGCTTGGGTCCCCTTCTTATCACAGGGGTTGGGCGTGCACTGGTCAGGCAGGTCTGATTGGGGACACAAAGTGGAAAATCATGCTCAGCTGCCCCCCGTCCCCGACGC